CCTTGCAAGCACAAGGACCTGAGTTCGATTCCTTGTACCAAAAAAAAAAAAACAAAAACAAAAAACCAACCACCCAACATCATCTATGACTTAACATGAAGGGTCCATTCTGGAAAATGTGTCACTGGGCTTTTCTGCTGTGGGAGCATCAGAGAGGACCCATGAGAACTAGCTAGTATAGACAGCCTGCTCCCGTGGGCTCCCAGACGGTGCGGACATACGGTAAACAGCACAGCACTAAATCAAGCGCAGGAAAATGATGCAATCAACAGACTGGTACACACAGATGTGCTAGGCTCTGCCGTGAAGTGGCAGGCTGTTTCAGGGTACTGTTTTACACAGGAGTGAGTGTGCTTTAAATGGCAGTTCGGGCTGGGGATGTGGCTCAGAGGTAGAGCATTTGCACAGCGTGCCACAGGCCGTGGGTTCAATCCCCAGCACAACAAAACAAAGACAAAGCAACAATTAAAAGCATAATATAGTAAATACCTCACCAGCAAGCACCCTAGTGACCTGCGTGCTACATGACGCGCACATGACGCGTTCACACCAGCACCACCACAGACCTATGAGATGCAGGAATGTTCCGCTCCCTATCTTTCTTATACCTTATTTCAATCGTTCATATACATATACATATATATCCATATATATCCATATATATATATATATATATATTCTCTTTTGGTGGGCCATTCTAGAATTGAACCCAGACAACATTCTACCACTGAGCTACAGCCCCAGTTCTCCATTATCGTATGTGACCGACAGATATGTGTTGACAGGCATGTCATTAGTCTACATGTGACAATAAGTAAAAATGTTTACTATAGCTTTTTAAAAAAGTTTTAAAAATAACTGCAAGATTCAAGTATCCATCAATAGGTAGGGTTGTTTTTTTTTAAGACTAAATTATGGTATTCTTATGGTTTATGTCTAGATGTTTCCCTAAAGCCTCAAGCTGTCATAGGTGGGGCTTTTCAGAGGTGGCTGGGTCTAGGGTGTGCGATGCTAGGATCAAGGGTATGTGAATACTAAATTAGTGCCTTGATTGGTTTGGCACAGTTCTGGGTAGGATTGGGGGTCCCCCACCCTTGATGTGAGCATTACACATCCTGGACAGAATATAAGGGACAGGAAGAGGGTTACTGTCATCACTTGTCATTTGCTGTTTCTTTGCTACTTCGCTACCTTCTGCCTGCCATGAACTGTTTCTCTCTGTGATGCCCTTCTGCCGTGCCACCCTGCTTTGGAGCCAGCAGGTTATGGACTAAAAACCACTATAAACTGTGAGCCAAATAACACTTTCCTCCTTTAACTTTGGGTGTTGGTACCACAGTTTAGCACCACAGTTTGTTACAGTAAAAAATTAGTTAACTGTAGATGTGCTGAATAACAAACTCCTAGATATATTTTTAGGAATAAACTGATGAAGAGCTTGCAGAAGAAATACATGCCTTGTAAATAATGGATATGGGAGGCCTTTTGCTCTCCACAGTATACATATTATTTGAATTTTGTACAACAGCATTTATTTTTATAGGCACAAAATAAATTAACTTATCTTTGTAATAATCCTATGTGATCCTGAAAGGCAGAATCTCAACACCCACTGTGAGAAGAAACAAACCAAGAGAAAAAGGCTAACAGACTTTCTGGGGAGCTGCTAAGAGCTATACCTGCCCTAATCTACTTCTACCCAAAGTCCAAATCAATGATGAAACCAAGACTTTCACATCCCTTCAAAATAAAGAAGGAAGTCAAGAAGAAAAGACTTCTTTCGCCTGTCTGCGTGGAAGAGCTGAGGGAGCGACGATAGATGGTGAAGGCCTTCTGCTGTCTTGCTGTGTCCCATGTGGTGACATCACCAAGCCGCCACTCAGCACAACGCCAAACTGCTGCACGCACTCACCCACCAGAGAAACCCAGTTCCCATGGAGGGGTCCCAGCACTTCACCTTCTTGCTCCTGAACAAGGAGGCGAACTCCTCCTAACTGTAACTCTATTCTCAGGAATATAATGTAAGAAACAGGACTAAGCTCTATGACTCAGTTCTTCACTACAGCCTTCTTTTACACAGCAATAAATTAGAAACAACCTAAACTTTCAGCAGAGGAATGATTAAACATGTTAACTCACCCATACGATGGAGTATTGTACAGTTATTTAAAATGTTACAGGGCATTTTAACAATGTGGAAAATGTTGGGCTAGTGTTCAGGACAACACTAACCACCATCTCATTTATATAAATATGCACAGGATAAAATGATCAGAAGAATCATTACAAAATGTTTACCAGTATCTTGAATAGAAAAATAGGTCAACTTTTTTCTTTTGTTTTTCAAGCTTTCAACAGTATATGTTACTTTTAGATTAGGTTTTAAAGTTTTAATTAATATTAGGCAGAGCTTACAGTAAAACTGCAAATTTATTTTATACAAAAACCACTTCTTAAAAATATTAACTATTTCTGGGGCCGGGGATTTAGCTCAGTGGTTCCGGCGCCTGCCTTGCAAGCACAAGGTCCTGAGTTCAATCGCTGGTACCAAAAAAACCCCACAAAAAACATGAACTATTTCTGTATTCTGCTCTTTTCTTCTAGGTCTAAGAAAAATAAAGTATTAAAATTAAAATCTGACTCCAAAGACTCTGGTAGGTAATACAAACAGGCAGAAGAGACAAATACAATCTTGCCCTGCTGTGCCATCCTGCCAGGGTGACTCAGCCTCTCTGGGAGGCAGGTGCAGGTGTCAGGGCACTGGACAGCATTGCAGGCACCCACGTGCGGTCCACACGAGCTCCCGCGCTTCCCGGACCTGGGGAAAGCCATCTATCTACCCAATGGGACAGGAACAGCCACTGGTTACCGTGGCGACTACAGGCTGCAGGCACAGGGACAGCTGGCAGTGCTTGACACCCTGCTCAGCAAATGCTCCCCAGTACCCAGTTTTGGGTACCACAACTAGAAACGGGCACAGGATCTATCCAGGAAGGCACAGAGATGCAAGGAACCCTAAATCCAGCTATCCGAGACATGAAACAAGGCAGCAGAGGGGACAGGATGACAGAGCAACCAAGAGATGCAGATGAAGCAGACCCATTCGGCAGAGCTCAGAAAGCAACGTTTACAAATGCGAGAGGCAGACTTTCAGCTCTCTGTAAGAAAGGACAACATGTTCAAAAATTGGCATAGAGGGCTTTTGTAAGTCACTGCAAGTGCTCAAAGAGAAGAGGGGAGGACCAGGAAATGCTCAGAAAGGTCTTCTCAAGCACAACAAAGGCATCAGGAATAGCAATGCTCCTCTTTTAATATTCTGGTCTTTGTTCTTATTTTTAGTGTGACACTGGGGATTGATTCTAGGGCCTTCACACCTAGCCACATCTCCAGCCCTTTCTTACTGATTTTATTTATTTATTTATTTTTGGAGACAGGGTCTTGCTATGTAGTTCAGGCTGGCCTTGAACTCACAGTGATCCTCCTGCTTCAGCCTCCTGAGTGCTGGGATTGCAGCCGTGTGCCACCAGACCCGGCGATACTTCTTTATTTTGAGACAGTGTCTCGGTAAATCACAAGGTGCCCAGGTTGTACTCAAACTTGGGATCCTCCTTAGCTTCCCAGAGTGCTAAAATTACAGGCTATGCTGTTCTTATAAACTCATAAAACAGCAGAGTGATGGTGGTGAGATTAAGATATTTAAAAAATCACATCAGACTGGAAAGAATTTTTTTATTGCTAAGTTTAGCATTACTAAGAGTAGTTGAATTTCTCATGCTCTGTGGAAGGGACTGTACAAAAAAAAAAGGGATCCCTCTGGGTCAAAGTGAAATGTGCTTCTTTATGTATGAGCTCTTAGCACCTTCAATATGCTAACGCAGATGTTGAATATTCACTACACGTGATCGCTCAACGCTGTTTGGCACTGGAAAGTATTAACACCTATTTTAATAGGGCAAACCATGATCTGGGAAATCCTGGTTAAAGCCTAAGAGTTCCAGCTTTTAATGAGAACATACCAGACTCCTTACGAACATCACTGATGGATGTCTAAAACCACCACCTTCAGAACAATGATTCTTAGCCTGCATATTTGTCAAAGATCTCTTCAAGAATCCAGAGTCTTTTTCTCCAAAAAAATACACATCATACCCAAAATGCTGCATGTGATTTCAGAGTTAACTCTGTAAATTCCATCCATGGGGCTCCATTGAAAAACTAGCAAAGGGAGGCTCTGTCTACCCTCAAGTGATGAAGGAAATAAGGACTTTGAAAACGGCAAGGCTGGCGGGCAGGGGGTGCCCGCCTGTAATCCCAGCACTGGGGAGATTGAGGCAGGAGGACTGCCGGGAGATCAAGGCAGCCTGGGTTACATGGCCAGACCCTATCTCAAAAAACTTTAAAAGAACAAAAAACTTCCTGAAAATGACAAGGACTTAGGGTAATACAGCAGCTATAAAATTAATCTGGCATGGCATCATGAGCAGCAGGGACAGAAAATACAATTAATATTACTAACAGCTAAAGAAACCCTACCTTGAAAAAAAAGTAGCTCAGGATATAGTATTTGCCTAATAAAATCTCAAATACTGTCAAACACCCAATTCAAATGCTTTGCTTCCAGCCAGGCTCAAGTCTTACATAATAAAGATTTTTCCCAAAAACACATTTGCCCTTTGTAATCCTTCAAATTAAAACTTGTTCAACTCTTAGTCTTTGTCAATCTGAAAGCCTCAGTTAGTGGAGCTACGTGCTGCACTGTAGCTCTCTCTGCACTTGGAACGATTCTCCTAGACTTTGGTATTAGCTGATACACAGCACTGGAAAACAGGAAGTTATGAAGTCACAGATTAGCAATCTTTCAGGTGACAGGCCAGAGTTAGGAAGCACATATTTTCAAACTCTTCACACTACTGTACAAGGACCATGTGAGAGAATGTAACCGATGTGGGATTCTGGCCGCGCTGCAGAGGAAGGTGGGAGCAAGGTGCTCTGGGACTTACGTTTTGCCTCCGATAGGTTCTGATTGGGCGACCAGACCAACATGCCAAGATTGTCTCGTTCCTGACTGCGCCTTGCCAGTTTGGCTTGGGGAAGAGAAGAGAGAGTTCTCATTACAATTTAGCAGATACAACAGGCAGTAACAGCAACACTCCGGTCTTGTAAGACTCAGACTACAGCGACCTCACCCCTTCACTGAGGCTGCGTGGGAGACGCTGACATCCTGGGGAGCCAGGGTGGGGTGGCCAGGGCACTGCAGCAGGTCTACCTCCAGGACTCCTGTTCGCCTGCGATTCACAGAACGCACAGATGCATGCAAGGCAGGTGTAACTGTCATTGCCATGTGCTGGGCGAGGGCTTAAGGGGCCAGAGGGCTCTCAAGAGGTGCAGCCAGGGTCCCCCAAGGCTAGCACGTTCTGCTGTCTCTACCAGATTAACTTCCTGGTGACTTGACAACAGTGATCCAAGGATTCTTTCAACAGCCTTATTAAAGAATAACCATTAAAAAAATCTAACCAGTTCCGCTGCCTGCCTCGAAAGCGCAAGGTCCCGAGTTCTATCCCCAGTATCAAAAAAATCTAACCAGAAAAAGAAACTCCTAAAATGCATCTTAAAATTGTTAATAATAGGTCAACATGTTTACATGTGCAAACTGTTAACATGTACAACTGTTGGGAACAACAACATTTTAAATGGCTTTTTTTTCTGGTGTGTGTGTGGGGGTACATGCTCACTATAATATTGCCCACACTGACCCCAAGCCTGTGATCCTCCTGCCTCAGCTTCCCCAGTAGCTGGGAATTCCAGGTGTACTGCACCTGATTAAAACAGCATCTTTGGAAAGTAACAAAAGACTCAAGAGCTTCACTATAATTGGTCCCTTCATCCAGTAAAGTCCAGATAGACATCAGTCACCCAGGTGGGTGACCAGGACCTCCCGACCCATCTGTTCCTAAGAATGTCTTTGACCTTTCCATGTACCCTTGCTGCATGACTTGCCTCCCCACTGGATCAATATTACCTAAGTGGCTATACTTGTAATCTTACTGGTTGATCATAGTTTTGAAACATGTTGTGCCCACCTTGTGAATTTGGTCTGTAAAACCTTCTTAGAGAAGTGGGGTCCGTGGCAACTTACTTTCAGGTACCCTCCTGTCTCTCAGAAGCTATCTCTCAATAAAGTTTTCCTGCTCTTTACCTCCGCTGTTCCTTAGAATTCATTCTGTGATTTCAGGGAACACAAACTCGGCATATCTGACATCTAGCAGGTTGGGAGTTACATTCTTCCCCTGTACCACTAATGTTTGGATAATAAAATGTCACTTGAGTTCTAGAGGGGACAAACACAACATCAAAGAAAATATTCAGCAAATAAACACATGAAAAGGCATCAAAATCAGCCATTAGGGAAAGGCAACCTGAAGCCGCTGGAGACTCCATAACTTGCCTACAAAAGAGTATACAATTGAAGGACAGATAATACTGAAATCTGGAAGAAGTGGAACTGTAGACTGCTGGCAGGTATATGAAATGATATTACAGTGGACCCTGGACTTACGAGCTCAATTCATTTCCGAGGGGTGGTTGTAACTCAAGTTGGTCAATGAAGGCTCAGGCCCCTCTACACAGCCTTCAGAGTCTCTCTCCTGTACACAGGCAGATCTCAGTGTCCTTAGAGAGACAATGGCCCAGCATTTCTCAACCCCACACAGGAGAGGATGCTGTAAGGTCCCTTCCAGAGCTCTCTTAAGGGTTAAACCTGTATCTGAGACCATCTGGAATCACAAGTGGCCAGTATTCGGGTTGTAACTCAAAACTTTGGTCCTACATTAAAACTATAATTCCACCACAACCGAAGTTGTTCATATGTCAGGCTGGTCATAACTCGAAGGTCCACTGTATCACTTTGGGGGAAAGTCACAATTTGCTAAAATTGTGGCATATCCATGCAACAGAATATAACTCAGCAATATAAAAGGAAAATGAATTAAACACACAAGAACAGAAATGAATCTCAAAATAGTTATGCTGAGTGAGAGTTATAAATATGAAAATGGGAAGGCTTTTAGAAAGACTTCTCCAGTGCTGGATAGGAATCAAAGTAACTGTGAATTCATGGTCTGCAGCATCAACAAGACTGCAGAGTACGCTCAGCATAGGCATGCAGCCATTCATCCCCTCTCTCTGCCCACTGGGAAGGCCTCAGAGGAATGACGGACAACCCAGCAACTCCAAGCACACAACTCCCAGACAGGGTTGCTAACCACCAATCTCCAATAAAATAAACTTGGACTCCTTAAAGAAATGGTTTATTGGCCTGGGGATTTAGCTCATTGGCACCGGGGCTGCCTCGCAAGCACAAAGTCCCAAGTTGGATCCCTGGTACGGGAGGAAAAAAAAGAAAGAAAGAAATGGTTTATTCCAGGACTGGGGCAGCAAGATTACAAAATGATCCTGGAATATTCTGTTACACCAGAAAAAAAAAGTTCAAAGAACAATAGAATCTATCCCCCCCAGGTCCAATCCAGAAGGATTTGAGCAAGGATATAAATGATAGTAACAAAATAACAACTCATGAGTCCATACTGATATAAATACACAAAAGGACAGATAAAATGGAGGTGAGGCAGGACAAAGGAGAGGAAGAACCAGAACAATGCAGGAAGACTCACACTGCCCTCTTGCAAGGCTTCCTACATAAAGGCACAGTTGGTACAGTACTGGCAAAGAAACAGACACAGAGATCAAAGAAACAAAAGACACTTCAGAAACAGACCCATGCAAACATGGCCAGCTGATGTGTGACAAAGGTCAAAGGTGCTGCAAGAATCCAGTGGAGGAAGTGTCCTCTTCAACAAAGGGTGCCTGAATAAGACTCCAATGCAAGGAAAAGGGAGCCTCAGTCTGCCTCACAACTTGAAATGCATCTTGTACATAAAATTTGACACTTTTAGAAAAACACACAGGAGAAAGTCTCTTGTGTATCTGGTTTAGGAAAACTGTGCTTAGATATGTCCCTAAGAGCATCTTCCACAGAAAATGATAAGCTATGCTCAATCAAAATTTAGTAACTTCTGCTCTGCACACACGATTGAGATACACTTCAAACTGTGAGAAACATTTGCATATCACATGTCCAAAAAAGGATGTGCATCCAGAATACATAAAGAACTTTCAAACTCAATAATTAAATAATCCAACTTGTAAAGACCAGGCCAAAGATGTGAACAGTGGCATGCTTGAAGTCACAAAGAAAAGCCACGACGCGCCTATCCCACCCAGGGTCCAAAGCATGCAGGCAATGCCCTTACAGGATGTCTAAAACAGAGCAAGGATGAGCAGCACTGAAACTCTCACGCAGTGCTGGGGTAAATGCAAAGTGGTAAAGTCACTCTGGAAGAGCACACAGCTTTTCATAAGGAAACAGTGATCGCTGCCAAATGACAGAGCCAGGAGCTTCGCTCCTCAGGAAGATGCCCCACAGGACTAGTGCTCGTTCTTCACCTCACTGCAGCAGTCGGACATGAGGGCACACGCCTGTAACCCGATACTCCTTCAAACGCGTGCACATGCAGCTGCGGTGCTTTTTCAAAGTGCTGGTTAGACCTATGGGAATTCATTCTCTGTTTTTTGGTCCTAATCAGCATTTTAAAAAAAGACCAGCGGGGCATGGAATATTGCACACCTGTGATCCCAGCACTCAGGAGGCTGAGGCAGGAGGATCATCATTGTGTTCGAGGCCAGCCTGGACTATAAAGCGAGACCCTCAAGAATGGACAATATCAGCACGTTTCATTCAGTGTATGCATACACCATTGGTAGAGACTTTTAAAATCTGAAAGTCCCTACGCCAGAACCTCTTCAAAATACAGCCTGGAATGCCACTGTGCCACTCAGTTCTGGGGGCTGTGTTTGTTCTGAGACTCAGTCTCGTGGCTGCTCAGGCTGGGCTGGGATTTCTGAGCTCAAGTGGCCCTCCCACCTCAGCCTCAAGTCGCTAGGGCTGCCAACATGCTTGCCCACACCCAGCTCTGCTGTTAAACTTCATGTGCCAACCTGGCTAGACTGTAAGCACCCAGCTGTTCAATCAAACACTAAAGTATGTGTTGCTATGAAAGAACTTATCAGACAGGTTAACGTCTACAATGAGATGACGCGAAGACAACTCTCCACAATGGAGGTGGCCCCACGAGCAAAAATTCAGATTTTAGAAAAGAAAGTGTAAGGTCGCAACTCCTCCCTGGAGGCCTGCCCTATGGATTTCAGATGTGCCAGGCCCTACAAGCAGCCAACCTCTAAATACACAACTTTAAATAAACCTCGAAATCACACACAGGCACATACTCACGCACATTCCATCAGCTCCACCTGGAGAATCCTGACTGACAGTCACTGCAGGAAGAACCAGGTGTGAAACAAAACCCAAGAAAACCCTTAGCATGGATAAGCAGATTGGATAAAAGATGGCTATGTGAATTTAAAGGAATTAAATACAGAAAATAAAACATCAGATCTACATCATTTTTATTACAAAAAGCAAGCTGAAGGAATTGTATAATATAATAGAAGATTAAGATATAAAAGCAATGCTCAATATTATGGGTGTGCATACATTTGAGGAATAAAAGGTACATGATAAACATATCTTAAAAATCAGATTGGGGCCGGGGATTTAGCTCAGTGGTTCTGCCGCCTGCCTCACAAGCGCAACAACCCGAGTTCGATCCCCGGTACCAAAAAAACAAAAAACAAAAAAAAAATCAGATTGATAGCCGATGTGGTGGAACATGCCTATAATTCCAGCACTTCTTGGAAGGCAGGAGGACTGCCAGGAGTTCGAGGCTAGCCTGAACTAATAGCAAGATCCTGTCTAAAAAAAAACAAAAAACAAAAACAAAACAAAAAATCAGATTGAAAGCTACTCTGGAGTACTTTTTTTTTGGTAACGGGATCGAACTTGGGTCCTTGAGCTTACGCAGCAGGTGGCAAAACCACTAAGCTAAATCCCCAGCATCTATTCTGAAAAAGGGAAATCTTGCTCTGCAGCATCTATGTTTCACTGGTCTTTACAAATTTAGATGGCAGG